TGGGCCTGCAGTCTTCCACTGCGTGTGTGTAAGTGTGTGAGATGAGTGATGGGGTGCCATCCAGAGCTGGTCATGCTTGGTTGCTAAACTGGGGCATCTTTAGAGGTGGAAGGGCATAGGACACTGATTTGTCTCGTTCATCATATGGAGAGACAGTTTTATTCTTTTTTTACACTTTTGGAAATATTGTAATTTCAACAGGCAAAATAAATGAATTTACAGACTGTTGTAGCTGAAGTTAGGGGAGGAGTAAACTGAGACAGAGATGCCTCCTGGTGAGGAGAAAAAAGCATTCTTCTTATTATTTGTGTCTTAACTATTTGAAGCTGCGATATTCACTTAAAAAATGATCAAAGTATAATCATTTTGAAGTCCCTCCCTTTCAATTCATCTGTTTTTTTCATAGAATATCATAACATTATCAAAAGTGTAGGCTTCCTGTGTCTTAAATCAAGTCTACTACACTAAACACACACACAGAAAAGGTCTCCTCCAACTTGGACTTATCTTGGCTTAGTATGCTTCAGACTCAAGGGGAAGACTGCTGACGAAACAGTTGGGCATAAGACCATGATTGACACCCACCATAAGGAGTAAGAGTCTCAAGAGGCAAACATGTTCTTTACATGGTTGAATGCGCTGATGAAAGAAATGTCATTAGAAATCAAATGTATTGAGTCACACTCAAAATTGAAGTGGAAAACACACTACGTGCTGTTCCAACTCAGTGTGTGACCTGCTTGCCCTCGCTACAATGTCTGGGCATGCTCCTGAAGAAGTGGGAGAGGGTTCCTCAAGGGACCTCCTCAGAGAGCTAGACCAACTCCTGGACAGTCTGTGGTGCAACATGGCATTGGTGGATGGAGCAAGACATGATGTTTCAGCTGTAATCAACGGCATTGAGCTCTGAGGAACAGACGGTCAGTATATAACATCAATGCCTTCTTCTTTGCAGCTCCAGACACCCCAGCACCATGAGGCTGAGGGTCTCATCTTGGTACTTAATGACAGTCAGGGTACCTCTGAAAAGCCCTTTGGGTGACCCACAGCCAAACTGGTCATGCTGGAGGATGTTCTCCACGACATCTCCAAACTCTGACATGTCCATCACATGTGCTCAGTGTGAACCTTTCATCTGTGATGAGAACCGTTTGCAATGGCAAATTTGCCAAGCAACAACCCCCACCTGTGGACGTTGAACACTCATACCCCCCTTGTGAACAAGGATATTGGTTTGAGCAGATGCAGCTGTGTCTCTGTTGGGGTAAGAAAGAAAAATACTGGTCTGTTGCCCAGTTGTACAAAGTCCTCTTTTCAAATGAAAGCAGTGCTTTTCATTTGGATTCCAGAGTCCCTGTATCTCTGGAAAAAGATTGGGGAAGTCACAAAAGTCAAATGACTCAAAGTCAAGTGTGAAATTTCCAGTAAGTGATGGTTTGGTTAGTGTGGCTCAACTGTTTTTTGTCAAGTCCAGGATCAAGGCAGCTGTCTTTCAGGACATTTTAGATTACTTTATTCCTCCTGGTGCACAGAAGGGTTTGGCATCTGCGCACAGAGCCAAAATGACTAGATCCTGGTTTAATAACCATGAAGTTAATGGTTTTGATTACCTGGACAACCCGATATAAAATCTATGGCTATTCCAAGAGGAGGGTGAGGGAAACGATTCCCAAAGCTGAAGGCCAATATCAAAGCAACAAGGGTGAATTACCTCCATGCCGCACTGCCATGATACAGCGATTAGTGCAACAGGAGGCACAACAAAATACTGAGGACATAAAACCGTAAGGGGCAGGATGGTGGTGCAGTGGGTAGCACTGTTGGCTTCCAGTACAAAGGTTGTCGGTTTGAGGTTCGTCAGTGACCTTCCTGGAATGAATTTGCATGTTCTCTCCTGTACAGAGATCAGTTGAAGCTCAGTCATCACACTTCACACAAACGTTGAACACATTGTTTAAGAACAGATGCCGTTAAATGCTTCAGTGAAGATAACAGCAAAGAACAGAGTGAACAAGTGACCTCTAAGTCACTGTGGGGTCACATGACTAGCTTTTCCGACTGCTTCATGTGTTCTGAATGCAAATGCAGTTAGTACTGAATGTCTGCCTTACGAGTGTAATCAGAGCAGCAACATTAAACAGCAGGCTGAAGAAGGAGCAGTCGACTTTAGTACATCAGTCAGAATGAGAGTCAGAGAGACAGATGGGCCACCAGAGACTGCCTCCCCCTCTCTCTCTCTGCCTCCATCTTTCATGTGCTTCATGCTATTTGGCTGCCACGTCAGAGTCCTCCCATGTCATGTCAGAGCAAAACTTTGAAGTAAAGTGGTTTCTATATTGACCACATGTTGATGGTTATGAAAACTAAGGAAATTAATATTTGATTGACAATTGTTTATATGCAACAAAAACACTTAATTTATAATATGGACTGAATATATTCTGTAAGGGACAACCTTCATACTTAAAAGTGATTTTTAAACTAGATGGCTAAAGTTTGCAATCAAACTTTCATGTTGTTTTGTACAAGTGCCGTTTAAAGCCAATATCACAATGTGCGACATAATCCAACCCCATTTCTCAAGAATTTTCCTAAGCTGAGATAAAGATGTGGCAAGTTAGTTGTTAGGGTAAACAGCCTGGTTGCTATGTAGGGTCAGTGACATAATACAATGTTCAGCATGTCACTATGAGTACATACATAATACAACCTCCATATTTGCACGATTTCAAAACACTGAGATAGATGTCCAGCATTTGTTGCTATGGTAAACGGCCTGGTTGCTAAGGAGGGGTCATTGACATAATATAATACCTTTGTCACCAAAATAGAAGCAACCCCCAGGTATCTATCATTTACAAATCTGAGATAGAGTTCAGAAAATTTGGTAAAGTTTACATTGGTAAACTGTTTGGTCACTAGGGAGCTGTCAGTAACTTCATACATTTTTTAACGTCTTACTATGATTAACATAATCAAATTTCATTCTCTGTGAATTTTCATTTTGATATTTTCATTGAATTTCCCATTTAGTTTCAGGGGCCACTATAAGTGAAATGGAAATATTTAACCCATTGTGCAAGTGTAGTGAGTTGGAAGGCTCTTTGCGATTCTCAGTTATATTTTGACAAAATTGTTTAGCATTTCCAGTGATTTCCCAGATTACTTATAATGGTACCAGTCTGAAAAAAATCTCAGATCAGTTCTGGATGTTTTGTCAAAGTTACTGACTGTAGCTCAAATGGTCGTGGAAGAGACATGTTTAAAAGGTTTTGCGAATAACAATGTTTGACTCATAATAAGCAAAATAAGATAATAAGACATCTATGATTTTTTTCGATGTGTTCAGGGATTTCTCTGTTGTCATCTTCTTTGTCTTCTTCTTGCTCTTCTTCCTTCCTATTTTTCGTGTGGCCCGGAGAGCATCTGTTGTGCTGCAAATGCCATCTTCAGACAGGGAGCATCATTGCATCAATATTTCCTTGACCCCGCTGAGAAGCCATTTGAATATTTGTGTGAATCTCAATTCGGATCAGTGTGTGGAGACCTTCAGTAATACTTATGACCTCAAGGATACTCAAGGGTCACTCATGTGATTTAGAGAATAATTAGCACAGTGAAAACTTAAAACCTCTAAAATCATCTTCAAGGACTATAAAAACATGTAACTGGCACACTGCCTCACTGCAGTTGTGCAACAGTGTGTTCAGTCTAGCTCCACACCACTCTGACTCATTCTTTCACATAGCAGTAGTTGACTCACATGAATCAAACATAACAGAAATTCTTTCTCATGACCAATGAAAGCTTTGTGCCAATCGCACACCCAGCGCTGATGGAAAATGTTGATTAAAGATAAAGCAAAGATAAACACATCCTCACTGAGTGCTTCTTGCTCATTAGTATTCAGCACTAAGCGTCTACTCCCCAGTGAGTGTCTCCACAGTGGCTGCAGGTAACAGTTTTATGAAAGGCATCGATGAGAGAGGCAGAAGGAGAGGCAAACACTTGCTTCAACGTCTCAGAAAGGGAGAGAGAAACGATTAATCCTGTGATTTCAGCTGCCTGTATCTGCTCAATAGTGGAAATTACGGCTGGCATAAGGCTCCATTTTCATTAGAGTGAGGACTACATATATATTCAGGCTCTAATTGAGGCCAGGGCCCTCCTGCTCTGTAATCGGGCCCTCCATAACTGTCTGTTTAGTGCTTTCTGCTCCTTTCCCTGTGTTTTAATGATTCCTGTGAGTAGCGGCCCATGGCTCTTTAACGGATCACTTCCTGCTCAGCTTGCCTGTTCATCCCAAACAAAGTTTGGCGGAATGGAGACAATTCATCACTTTTGGATTTGCCTTTGAGAGATGGAAAAAAAAGAGAAAAGGGCTCTAAACATCTTCCATATGCCGGTTTTAATGAGAAAGATTTTGTAGAATTCATACGGTGAGAAATTTCAGAGCTCTGTTTTTGTGATTCCCAACCCAAGTGAGGATGTCAGAAAGATTAGTTCTAGCTACGCCAAAGAGTCATCCCACATTATGCTCACATCACAAGTAAACTCTGGTTGAGTAATAGCAAAATGAGCTGAAATCCAGCTGGAGCTGTACACAAGCAGCACAGGAACTCATGAAGCAATGTGTGCAAATGTTTCTGGGTCAATGTTTATGTCTGGATCTTGCTGATATCTTCTTTGAACAGATTTGGCGATATGAAGAAGACCCATCCAAACATAAACCAATCACGTATAATTACGTAGTATATATTGCTATTAAATATTGTATTTAACTGTAATCTTACATGTAAAAATTGTAAAAAAAAAAAAAAAAAAAAACTGTGAAACCTTGCTTAAGCTCTACTTATTCATTCATTCATTTTCCAACCCACTTATTCCTTTTTTGCGGTCACGGGGGTCTGCTGGTGCCTATCTCCAGCGCACTCGGACGAGAGGCGGGGGTACACCCTGGTCAGGTCGCCAGTCCATCACAGAAAGTGTTGTTATCAGACCGCCCAAACAGGGATTTGAACCCTGGACCCTCCGATTAAAAGTCTGATGTTCTACCGACTGAGCTGATGAAGATGGAGAGAAGTTAACAAAGAAAGAAACGCTAGCAAGAGGGAGAGAAAACCATAGAGGTCACATGACAAAGATGGGCAAAGATGGGTGATGAGAACAAGAAAGACAGAGGACATAATAAAGAAAAATAAAGACAAGAGCTAGGCCAATGAGTTAACATTCGATGAGTTAGTCAGCTTTATAAGCTCCATGTGTTTTGCCTTTTATAAAACACTTTGGAATTCATTTAAATGATCATTTTAAGTAGAATCCTTTTACAAACGCATCTGCATTATAGTGACATTTTGTTAAATTACTAATAAATATATTTAATTCACTTCATTTTTTTTCATTACATCACTATATACACATATTTGTAGTTATCAAAAAAGTGAAACATACAATATTGTAAATTATCTGGAGAAAGGATCAAATTTGCCAGGTGTGCATTTAAACACGGGGGATGCTGTTCACCCTTAGGTGGTTATGAGTTCATTGTAAACTCTAATACAACACAAAATGGTTTCCTTAGTGTTTGTAACATCATTGATACATCTGTTTTTCTCCTATTGAGCCAATTGTAATAGCAATAATAGAAATATTGGCTGTGTAGAAGTATAGCAATCAGAAGGTTGGATGAGGTACACTATAGCGCCACCCAGCTAATCTCAGCTAGTTACTCAAACACAGCCAAGAGCCATTAATCCGGTTAATAGAGGTTCAAAAGTACATTTCTTCATATAAATGCAAATTAGTTCTGTATTCTGTCGCTCATAAATTGTATGCACTGATCATTGGTTTATTCGTGGACAAACTTTCAAAATCAGCGCCAAATACTTTTTTTATAGATTGGGGCTGTTTCTTTTTCATCGATGCAGAGAGGTCTTTCAGATTTGGTTTGATATGTGGAAAGGCTGATGATACGGATCATACTTTTAGTTTGATGCTTTATTTTGCCATTTTTAGATTAACTGAACATAAGGAACTCAAGTTGTTACAAAATGAGAATGAAATACTCGAGGCTCCTACAATAACCAAGAGGGGCTTGTGGGAGATGCAAGAAAAGGCAAGAGATATGAACAGCTATGTCAGGAGAGGAAAAAGATGAGAGATGTGGATCATACATTTTCTGAAGCTACATCACATCCAATCTGGTCAAAGATGCAAAGCATATACACCAGCCTGAGCACAGCATGGCATAGATTTGCAGTTTGTGTGTTTCTTTCTGTGTGTGTGAGCGCGCACAGAAGGGAGGCTGAGGGATTGGTTGCCACGGAGATTCTGACACATTGGGCCCCACTCCCTGCTGCCCTCAGTTTAGCCTTGACAAGGCAGAGAAAATGCTTGAAGGCGGGTAGGCTAATTTACCATCCTTTTCTCCTTTTTTTCCCCACAAAGTCGTGCTTTTTCTCAGCCTTTCCTGTTTCTCTCCCTCTCTCACTCCCTCTCTCACTGTGAGGTCTCGTTACAGAGTTAGAGGGTACTTGAGTAATTAATGTGGAATTCAAATGAGCTTATCAGGTCAAAAGCAGCTTTGCTCCTTTAGGATACTCTCCACTCATGAAAAACAGCTCTGACAAGCTTACAGTACAATAGCACATTGTGAATACTGATGACAGGCCCAGATTCATTACAAAACAAAACTTACACACGTTCTTTCTTCTTCTGGGGGGGAAAGGGGATTAGCCAGCTTAACTTTATAGTGTAACAAAAATGTATTATTAACTGACATTGGAAGAATGACGGCTAGAAAAAAGATCCTTACTTATTCAAGCCCCTGGAAGCGCTTTGGGTTCAAGTTCGTCTGGGATGTTCAAAAGAAAGATGACAGCAGGGATAGGTGAAACTTCCTTGACGTTTGTGATGTGCATTTGAAAGTAGAAGCACTTGTCAGAAAAGATAACGTACTAAATGTGCATTGAAAACATCTTGGAACTTCCCGTATGCTCTCTGACTGAAGGTTCGTTTGAGTCCTGATTAATCTAAAAGCAGGATTCTGAACCAGTTCATGTAACCAAAACCTGAAGTGAATGAGATTTTTCCAGGAACAAAAACGGAATCTAATTGAACAATTATTTTATCGTTCTCTTCAATATTGGGGAAATATTGGGTGCACTCCGATGTACATGGGTTAACAGGCAAGAAGAAGAGCAGAGAGAAGACAGACAAGACAACGACAAACAAGAAAATCAAATCAAACACATAGAAAAAAAATGTATTTTTATGCGGTTTATGCTGTTAGTGGCTGATCACAGGGAGGGTTCGTGGCGTGTTATTTCCTGTTTCCCAAAAATGTGTTTCCTGAACGCTTTATATCTCCAAATCAGACATTTTTATTGCTTGTTAATAGTTTATTTCAGAGAAGGTCTGATTTATGGGAAATAATCCAAATAGAGTTATTAATTGTTCCTTCAATGGTGAACATACGAATGGCTTTCTGAGAAAAACTTTCGATGGCCATGAACTTATTTTTTTCTTCCTTTTAACAAAGCTTTTCAGTTCCTCCAACAAAACAAGCTCCTATTGGTAATTTCTCCATTAGATTTTTGAAACCCAGAAGTAGTTTAACATTTTAACATCTTTTTCAGTTCAGTATTCGCTGATGTTTCTGTGTGACACTGAAACAGAAGCAGCATATACATTGACAGTAAAAGACCGTTTTAATGCTCAATTTGCACTTTGCCATCAGCCACACAGGGTCTAAACATAAATAAATGTTTTACCATATACTAAAAAAAAAAAAAACACAATCTGCTGTTACAAAAGAGCAGGTGCATCTGGAATCCTCTGGGCTTTCCCCAATTCTCGCCAACACATTTGCTTTTGGAATGTTATTTTTGAGTGTGTTATAGCAAAAGGAAAAAAAAATATGATTATTAACTGTAACAAAGTAGTTAGAGAGAAATGGAGGAACCAAAATTTTTATTTTGTTTTCACACCCTGCAAAAAGACCTTTTAATAATAGGTATGCAAGTTAGATAATCGCTTATTGATAAGCTACCTCAAGTGATATACCAAATGCTAAAGGACCATATAATTCCCTACCATCTTACATGCTTTTACCTACTCAACTGCTTTTACTGAAGTGTGCTGTTTTGAATTCATCTTTGGCTGTTTTTGCACTTGTTTTTGTTTATGGAATTCTTAGTTTATTTCTCATTAACTGATCAGGAGTAAAACCACCTCAACTGCTCACAGTTTCCTTCTCTTTAGTGGTGTTATATTGTCAAACTCCTTCTTAGGAGTGTTTAACCCTTTGACTTCCTGTAATATTTAGACGCAAATGTTATTTAATAACATTACAAATAATTATTACGCAATAATATAAGTAATATGGAAAGTGGAAAAACTGCACTGGACTGAATTGGCCGCTCTGCAGGATTGTGAGGAAGAGAAGGCTAGACTCTCAGTCTGTAGTAACTCTTGACAAAATATTGCTGCTCTATTCCAGAAAAGCTGTCCGGAAAATGCAACAGCTGCAGAAAGAGGATATTTCATTACACCATGAGAATGTGTGTAATAGTGCAAACCGGGAAATTCGGAGAAGTGAGAAAAGCAGAAAATGAGAATGAAGGAGGGGTGGGACACAAACCCCCAATCTTCTGCTGCATTTCGTGTTCTGTTTTCACTGCTTCATTTGAAAGGCTGTCATACCACTTGATTTAAACCCTATCGGTCAGAGAGTCCTTTCTATTTCTCTGTGCGTTCCATTCTCAAGAAACAAAATCCATTTATTTTCATTCACAGATCACAAGAAAACTGTGAACCAGGATTTCTTACAATCACACACACAGGCATGCTAAATACTGTTTCATCATCATAAATTCTAACTAAAAACATTTCAAATAAAATAAATAATGTGTGGTGAACCGTATCCTTTCAGACTGTAATTTTAATGTATTAAGAGAAAATATTAATTATTTAAATTGATATATATCATTATTAAATATTAAGCTTTTTTTCCAGGTTTTCATATTTTAGGTATCCACTCCGAATAGCACTTCAATAATGAGGGAAAGGCCCATTGCCAAAGAGGTATTTAGATCACAGACAACAGAGATGCGTTCGTTAACTGTTTTGACCACAGACAGAATAAAAGATGGATAACCACTTCCTACTGCTGAGCCATGATTAGGGTGCTGGCTAATCAGGCATGAGGCATCGCATCCCCAGAAGTAATCACAAGAGGAGGAAGGTTTAAGTCACAGTGTCAGAGATCCACCCCATCAGTCTGCCGACTCCACTTAGCTCCATTCAGCTGACTCCAATCACAGCCTTTGATTATAACCTCCTTTTTTTAGGATTAAGTAACCAGCAGGAAACAAGCATATAGGATAACTTTGTCCAAATGTTTTATGTTGCTTTATGTTCTACTTTCCAAAATGGTGACATCACCGGATTACACTGAAATGATCTATTTCTCAGCCCTGCATCAAAAGGAGGAATCAGCATTGAGGTTGAAGGTTGCATTCAGGTTGAAGAACTTCTCACTCATTTTAGTGTTAAACAGTGATTTAATTACAGTTAACTATATTCAATTTCTTAATAAAAAAAAAAAGCAACACAAAGCTAAATGTCTGCTGGACAGAACTCCTTTATTGTTATTGTATGGGTTGACAGCAGCATTTTTATTTTGGCTAGTATAAGGCAACATATTGTTAATCGTCTTTTGTTTTATGTAGGAACATACCAACCACTGTGCAAAAGTATTTGAACACCAGGCTCTAGAGGGGGTTAAAAAATGCCACTAAATGGCTAATAAATCTTCAAGATAAAAGATTGAATAATTCACTGACATCTCTCTAGCAGCCAACTGTTTACCCTAGCAACAAAATTTTTTGTGATTCCCCCATAGCAACTAAAAATTCAACCCTGGCAACCTTTCCAATTTGCTAATAAAATACTTTTAAATGACACTTTTGAATGACAAGTTAACATTAAATTTATTGTTGCACAAACTTTAGCCATTAGGGTTTAATGATTAAATTTTATTATTATTATTATTATTATTATTATTATTATTAT